CGGAACTGTTGTGAAACTTAGAAGAGTTTGTAAGATTGTGAGTTAACAAGTTTTCTAACAAGACGTACAAAGTCTCACATTAAAAATCCATTAATTACTAGCCTAAGAAAGATATTTAAATGAAGACGGTTGTCAAATTTAGAGTTTTCTGAAATCCACCCTTTCAGAAAAAGGAAATCTCGTTTCGTATCTGACAGGTACTTCAAAGTTTCTTTCAAGCCTAAACCATCAAAATAAAATTTTCTTAAGCGAAATATACTAAAGATTTATTGATGTAATAAATTGCTGCAGTAGAATTGTATCAAGCGTATATTTTCATCCTTCATAAAAAAAAAAATGTTACGTAAAATTGTAATTACAGCCTTCATTCGGTTGTTTGTAATTAAACATAAAGCTACACAATGGGCTATCTGTGCTCTGCCCATCACGGGTATCGAAACCCGGTTTCTAGCGTTCTAAGTCCGCAGACATATCGCTTTGATTTTGAATTAAAGACGAATAACCAGTTTGTTATGTAAAGGTTTTAAACAACACGCCGCTAAAATCAGGGTTCAACAAATAACAATTTACTAAACTGTAATAACACTTGGAATAAAATTTAGCACTTGTCAAAAACATGGTTAGTAAACACGTGTCTGGCCAGGACTTGATACTCATATTAATGAAAAAAAAAACATAAATATCAATTATTTCAAATCATGGAATCAGGAAGAAGAACCAGAAGTAGGAAAACCTAATTTAAACAAACAAACAACAAAAACAACACAATATTCCAAAATCACCTTTCTATATTAATAAAAATATCGACTGACAAACCGCAATAATTCACTAACTAAATTGCGAATCCATTTATGAAGCTTATGGCAGTGTATTTATTCACTGTGTTAGGTCATGAGAGTGCATTTCATGTGATCAAAAATTTGCATAATCTTTTGCTACAATAATAATATCTGTACGTCACAACATATTTACTCAAAATAAACCAAATCGGCTAAAAGGTGAGTTAGCGTTTTAATATAACTAAAAATTTACAGATAAACTAACCGACAGAAGGAATAATAAATGAACGATAAACAAAAGCATAACCAAAAAAATAGAATTCGCTATCTCGCAGCAACGTTTCAGTAAGCAGTTTTAGGCAAAGAAATATTCTTAACACGTCTTTCCTGCCCTGAAATGATAGACTAGAGAGAAGGCAGCTAGTAAACACCATTCACCTCCAGGTCTTGGATTACTCTCGTCAGACAGAACAGTGTGATTTGACCGTTATTCTTATAATGGGTGTATGGCCCGAAAGTGCAGAGCACGATTTGTTATAAATTTTTGGAGGTGACGGAGCACGAACCTCTGACCCTCAGCTTAACAACCGGCCAATTATCAAAGAAAATAAAGGTGATCAAAAACTGCATAAATGGAATAATCTTCAGTATTCTTATGGCATAAAATTCACAAGAAAGTTTCAAGCTCGAAGAACGCATTCTAGTGCCAACTGCTGCTCATTTTGTGATATTTTAAAAACATCCGAAAAATATTTATATGCAAGTTTGCTTTACCTGTATATAGTTTTCACCTTGTTCTTCAAAAGAGGTTTAGTATTTGTCATAGCCATTATACTTCCAGCAGATAATACTGAAATTATCAATGTAGTTCATAAACGTTTTAATATAATATTTTTCCATCCTTAAACTATTCTTTTTCACTCTTTTTCTTACGATTTACTTTAATGAATAACAAATATATTGTACAATGTAATTTCTATTGAAATCATTTGGTATTTCAAAGTTAATTTGAAACTTATTAGTAAAAAAATAATTTTAATGATTAAAGGAAGACCTCCTCCGTCTGTGACCTGGTGGAGAGAACTACATCTTCTTGACAAAATACACGAGAACGAAAACGAAGAAGAAGTTGTGAACGAGCTTGTGATTCGTCGTCTCGCCAGAACTGATCTGAACGCCGAATTGATATGTCAAGTGTGGAACTCGAATCTTACATCCTCAATTATTGCCACCGTCTTTCTTGACCTGAACTGTGGGTTTAATGAATGCTTATTTGTTTGATATTTTAAGAAGAAAAAAAAGAGTTGTGTGTGTGTGTGTATAAGAGGTGTATAGCTTTCGAAATGTAATACTATGTTGTAAGCTTTGATCACTCTATTTTGATTGCATAATATCGTTTATCTTATAAATCTTGTCACCCCCGCAACGAAAAGTTTTTGTTACAACCTATATTATCTCCTGATTTATTGAAGTTTACAGCCTGATAGGCTTGGAAGGCCTGAGCCCTTTAATAAGGAATATTATAAGTTATGAACCAAAAAAGTGTGGATAGGAGTTGTTCAAAAATAGAAATTAAAGTTTACTAAAAACGTATTCCGATAGCATAAAATTCACAGTTATTTTTTATTTGAATTATCGTAATTATCGTAACTAATAGATATTCGCATTACATACCTATCACTATCTTAAACCGATTTTGAATATGCAAATCAGCAAGTCACGTGACAGAAATAGCTGATATAAAGTCACGGTGGAGTGGCGTGTATCAAAACAATATGTTGACATTGCTTGGTATTCGTAAGTAGCATGATGCCATCGATCAATTATCAATTTTGGGAAGATCTTTAACTGCATTATCCGCCGCAAAATATTCATTCACTTAGATCATAAACATGTACCCAGATCGATAATTTAAAATTCCTAAGACAGTGATATCACTTTGCTTAATGATATTGGAAAACAAAGAAATGTGGATAAACTTTGGGCACCATGACCATCCAGAACATGATGTACCTCATCCGCAGCAAGCAGAGCTCAGAGTCTTGTAACATAGTACGCAGTACGCAACATAGTCTAAAAATGATTTCCATCTGGAAACGAAATCAACAAAGTAAGAGTTCACTAAGATGAGGTTTTTAGTCATACCTCCCTTTAAACCGTCGCATACCTTTTAGAATCTTGAGTATGAAACGAGTATTCATAATATTCCACATAAAGATATACTGTAAAGTCGCTGGATGAAACGCCTATGGATTTTTGTGCGATCGAATTGTTGAAACGGGCACTGGGATGACGTCGCTTTCGTACACTAAATAGATTATAGAAAACATCAGGGAGAAGTGTTGTGATTTGGACATGACAGAATTACGAAGAAGCCTTTTGGAAAAAAAAATATAAAAAAAATACGATTCAGGATATTGTCAAGGTCCACAGTCGTCAGATAGAGCTAATATGATCTTACATAGTGACATGGACTGTTACGATATTGTAAGGCTGAAAATTGTGTTAATATAACGTACTTAACGTTTGTGCTACTGTAATTGTTGGATATACAGAACTGTTAATCTTAAGAGTTATCATTTAGTTTCTTTAGTGATTTAATATTTAATGATTATTTAGTTTTCGTAACAAGAGTCTTAAAAGTTAATCATTTTAAAAGCGATAGCTATGACAAGTTTCGTTACGTAACTCTGCACGAGTCTATGTTGTGTGTGTGGTCCGGCATGGCCTGGTGGTTAGGACGTTTGACTCGTAATCTGATGTTCGCGGGCTCGAATCCCCATCCCACAAAACATGCTCGCCCTTTTAGTCGTGTAGGAGTTATAATGTGACGTTCAGTCCCACTATTCGTTGGAAAAAGAATAGCCCAAGAGTTGGCTGTGAGTGGGGATGACTAGCTGCCTTCCCTCTAGTCTTTCACTGCTAAATTACGGACGGCTAACGCAAATATCCCTCGTGTAGCTTTTCGCGAAATTCAAAAACAAACAAACATGCGTTGTGTATGCATTTTATTTGTTGTACTAGGCTTCTGTAATAATGTTGACGTCATCTTACTAGAAACTTCTAAGTTTTCTCGTTATATGAATATTGTTGTCAATAGAGGGCTAGCTATTACTAGATTTTTCTGTCGCAAGTTATAAATACGCACAGATAAAGAGTGCAAGGAAGAAGTTAGAAAAACTGATATTAGTGAAAGTGAAACTAGACTAGTGAGATTTACAGTGATATTGTAACAACGGAGATAGAGAAGAAGAATTTATCTTGTTAAAGGGTGTTTTAAAGTAATTGAACTCTCCTGAGTGGACCTTGATGAAAAGTAGACAATTATTTAAAGCTCTGGATACAACTGTGATAACCGATAGTGTAACGTGTTTTTCTATATACGTTTGACTTGTTTGGAATACAGTATTTTAAACAAGTGGAGTGTGTACTGTCCGTTTATTGTTCGCATTTATCGCCAACAAGTCTGTACACCTACTGCAAAGAATCCGGCCCTATAAAAACCTGTCAATAATCATGCTTACTTTTTACATCTAAAATATTATATCCTGCTTTGTTTGTATGGCACCTTTTAGTTATATAGCAGTAGGGTGAAACTTATTTTTTGTAAGACACATAAAGTTTTTGTTGTGTAGGCGTGGAGCAAAGTCGGCTCTTCGTTTATAAGGTATCCAACCATTTTTGGTTGTATGAAGGTGGGACTAAAACTGTTTAAGATACATATGAGTATGATCACGTGATTGTGACTTACGTTTATCGTTACGTCACCATCTTAAAAACTTAAAGTTTAATTTTGAAATTGTAGATAAGTTATACTTTTCTTGACTAAACTTATATGCAAAAAGGAAAAGGATTAAGTATCACCATTAAAATTAGTAACAATTATTTGTCTCCTGTATATTGATTTTGTTCTGTATTTCTTAAGATAAAGCCTTGGGTTACATTTAATGTTCTTTAATATATATATACAAAGGAGTTAATGTTGAAAGATAATTCAACATAGTTTACATCATGGTTTTATTTTTCCGAGATAAGCTTTTACTCTCCAGTTAATTTTAGTAAAACGAACTTTCAGAAGTGTTTGAAATTATTATTCTTCCACGATGGAATGGAAAATTTAAACCCTGGTAAGTTATGAGATATTCTCGGCAATGTTTTTGCTGCAAAAACGCTGTAGTTCAAATAAAAATATTTCATTTTAGTGGCACTTGACATAGCCATGAAGTGTTATGTTATAGTACTACGCTTAAGCAGACATAATGTGGCTACACTGTTGGGAACGCTGTATTAACTGTATTCTATGAAACATCTCTCATGAGAGATGACTACTGTTTCAGAATCTATTTGATGTTAGAATACCACAGAATATGAAACGAAAAACAAACGGTACCAGCCGAAACATATATATATATATATAATATTTGTTACCATATGTTTAGTGCTAATTTAATCTAACTTGTGGTTCCATCCTTCTAATATGTATGAACTTAACGTTTGATTAAAATAATTTCTTCGTTGAATTTTTTGTAAACCAGCTTGTAAAAACGTTTTTACGAAAACTGTAGTTACAAGTTTGGAGCACTGAAAATGTCAGTTTAGGGTCTCTTGTGCTTGTAAAGCTTGATTATATAATAATCAACAGATGTGAGGCCAAATGCGTAACTAGTTTGTTTATCTGTTAATATATAAAAAAATATATATTTTTGAAAATTGAGTCTTATGACTTAGATTATCAGATATTATTATGCATATGTAATGTCCTGGTGACAAGTTATTCAAAATGTCTGTATTGAATCTTATAAGAAAAACGTTTTTTTTCAATGTATCATTTCAGCATAAAAGTCTATATGCAGTTATATTTACATTAACACCTAAAGCCTAAGTTAATAGTTCGCTTAATTTTTCATAGAAATAGCTTCTCATTTATGGCAATTTACAGTATTTCTTTCATTACCTTACTGATAATAATAATAATAACTCAGAAAGAATATAAAAATAAGAACAATAAATGGTCAAGTGATCCGCTATAGTGTGATACAATTATCTCGATAGGAATTACTAAGTCTTAGAATTGGTTCCGAGTTACCGATAGATAGATTTAGATGATGAATAAATCATGCCCAAGTGAAATGCTTTGTAATTTGTGTAAATTATATCAACCGAAATGTGTTTTAACGATTTAGTTTACATAAAGCTCTATAAATTAATTGCTTTCAGTTTAATAGTTCGAGTTTATTGGGATAATACATTCTTAAGTACACAACGTAAACACTTCTAAGCACTGAAATATGAACAAATCAGACACAATCGTAGCTTCGATTTATTTCACGAAGATATAAGTTACATAATACAAATATGGCAGTGCATCATCACCTTTAGGAAAAAATGTTTCAAAAATGCAAATAATTATTAACAAATTTTAAGATTTCTTTCTCAACATGCACATAACAGTTTCCAAGAACATGGTAAATATTTCATGCTCTCTTCTTTTCTACAATATACCTATCTCCGCGTGGATAACTTACATCTTGCTAACATTAATTTCAAAATATTCCTGTGCTCATGAGTAAAAAAAAGAGTGGTATAAAAACTTTTTATAGTTGCTTTAAAAGTCTTTAACGTTTAATCTAATTATGTTTTATTGGCAATATTGATTACATGTATAAAAAACATGTTTTCCATTTCCTACAAAGCGTGTTATGTACACAAATTAACGATGAATGAGATACAGTAATTTTTCTTTCAGTTCATTGTTTTGAAGCTGAATACGTTGAATATAGTTTCTGATTTCTATCAACATTGTTACAGAATTTTTATATTCTCAATGAATTGAAATTTGTAAGAAGTAGGTCATGAATATTATTTATGCAATTTTGCAATAATTTTCGATATCTTGATTACTTCAAATGCATTCATTTAACAGGAAGCACTAGAAAAACATAACCATATCTAGAATACTCTTTTTGTTTTATAATCTGTTCAACGTAATTATTTCAAAATTTGCAATATAAGCCAATATATTTAATCTTTTTCTCTATGCCCCCAGTGTCTCAGCGGTATGTCTGCGGACTTACAACGCTAAAATCCGGGTTTCGATACTCGTGGTGGGCAGAGCACAGATAGCCCATTGTGTAGCTTTGTGCTTAATTACAAATAAGCAATATAAACTTTTTCTCTGAATGGCTATATATATGTGTGTATGTGTGTGTGTATATATAATACACACAATCCACTTTATATATACACACACTGAGTGGTTACAAGTAAATAGACACCTAATTTTTCATCATTTAACTGATTTATGCTAACTAATTTGTGTTCACGGAGCACTATATAAATGAAAATGGTCCGCACACTAATTATATTGTGCTACAACATGCCTAGAACTCAAAGTTCTCTCGAATTGTCAGATTTTGTTAGAGGAAGGATAGTTGGTCAAGCAGGTGGTGGAATAAGTCAGCGGCAAATTTCGCAGAATTTGGAAATCCCGCTTTCGACAGTCAACAGAATAATAGTGCAGTTCAGGAAACACGGCAAGGAAACAACTGAGCAGCGTCCGGGTCGTTCTGGTCCGTCGGAGAGGACAAAAAGGGCTGTCAAGAGGAGCATCGAAATGGATCTCAGATTAACGACTGCAGAAGTGGCCAAAGTTGGTGTGATGAGCCCGAAATCTGTTCAACGGATTCTCCACAGATTGGGTTATCGTTGCAGAGCAGCTAGACGGAAGCCCTTATTAAGACCTGCCAACATAGTCAGACGAAAGAAGTGAGCAAGTGATATGATGACCAAGCCTTTGGACTTTTGGAAGGCCGTATTGTTCTCAGACGAATCAAGATTCGTTCACTATTCGGACAGTGGAAGGATATGGGTCTGGAGAATGCCCCATCAAGAGTTTTGGCTCAACAGATTGCAGCCAACTGTGAAGCATGGTGGTTTCATCTCGGGCAGTAGTTTTTGGCGTTTACTAGTAAACTTTCCTGGAACAACATGTCCTATAGTGGGTTGGTGGGAGATCGAGCGTAGTGGAGTGCGTTGGCAACATAAATTTTGCGAAATTCGTCGAAATATTGGAGGAAGGACTCTTGCCACTTTATTCCTCGGGTTTCGTGGGCAAGAACACAACGTTGTTCCAGTAAGATGGAGCACCGTGTCACACTGCTAGAAACACCCAAAAGTGGCAGGAAGAAAATGGCATCCGGAAGTTGCCCTAGCCGAGCCAATCTCCTGACATGAACCCCGTCGAAAACCTCTGGGCCATACTCGACCGGCAAGTCAAGAAATAACCAAAACAACCAACTTCGAAGAGCGATCTACTCCATGTTTTGAAGCAGGAGTGGGCGAAAATCCCACAATCTAAAAATTGACGAGATGATCCTCACGATGCCCCAAAAGATCAACGAACTCCACGAAGCGAAAGAAAGATCTACTAGATATTAAATATATTATAAATATGTCAATTCATGTGAATATGACTGAAAAAATTCATTTTTTTTTTAAAGGTGGTGTCTATTTAATTGTGACTACGCTGTGTATATATATTGAAATCAGGGACTCAACAGCTTATAACTATTTTTCATTATAGAAATGTGTGAATGGTTTGAAAATTTCCACTGTTGAATTACTTCTCAAATACTCTTTATTCTTCATTATAAGCTTTAAGTGTGGTAGAAATCCTTGGTATTAAGAAAAATAGATATTATTCTTTGTCTATTTTCTATTTTACAACTAGTCCTATTTCTAGCAATGTTTATATACAAAAACAGCATGTCAGGTTTAAGAGATTTTTTTTAGTTCATTTGGCTAAGACCAGTTGGTTTGTATTTTGCGACATGCAAAATCTTTGATACAGAATATAACCCCACCATTACTGAAATCCTATTCTCACATATATTGTTTGCAACTCTACACCTCTTTCCTTTTTGCCAAACGTCCGAGGATAATCGTCTTATATTCTCGTTTATGTTTCTATTAGTCTTTGTTTGTTTGTTTTTAATTATGCACAAAGCTACACAAGGGCAATCTGTGCTCTGCCCACCACGGGTATCGAAACCCGGTTTTTAGCGTTGTAAGTCCGCAGACATACCGCTGTGCCACTGGGGGGCTTATTAGTCTTTCTGCTGCGTTTTAAGCAACATTAAGACTGAAACAAGTGTAGTATCACTAATCTGGTTGTTTGTCCACGTATCAGAGAACAAAGTACCGTAAAACAGGCTTTTAAGTACATATTTTTCCAAATGGCAAATCATCCACAGTTCTCAGTTTTCAAGCTATAGCTATAGATTGAAAACAAAGAAAATTGGTGTATAGGTAGCCCAATTGTAGCTTAATATTGTAGCATAGCTGTAAATGTCACAGGGTCCAGAATGTTTTAATATATCAAGTGTCCCTACATATTCCAACTACTTTTTCTCTAACACTAGGGCGGAAAAGACAATCCAAATATGTTTAAAAATGCACAAAACTTTACAAAATGAGTATGCCTCATCTCACATATTTAATGATTATGTGCGAAAACATCTACCAGACACCAAAGGTTTTAAAATGCAGGTAAATAGGTGTATCTTCTATGAAAGTGGCGTTGTACTTTTCCGAAAGCTTAGACACTAAAGTTAATATCATGGAAACACCATGACACTAAAACCAATGATTCATTTGTAATCAATAGTAAAATTAGATGAAATAAATTTTGTTTCTAATCGCCTATTTAACGTTACTACTAGAACCCGATCTGTAATTTTCATATCTCTCGTTTATCTTTTTGCCTACATTACTTGAATAGTCTAAATCTGATAAAGTTCTATCAATATCTTCATAGTGGTTGAGGTAAGTTTTGAGAGTGGTAAAATTTATTTCATTCATTGTTTTACTTTAGCGATGTCTGTTTGTCATATAAACTTCTTCCCATAGATATATTTTTAAGTTTCTGAATAATCTAAATATGCCTAGTGCTAATACTTGCACAAATTATAAATACAAGTAAATTTGTATATTCGTGTACTTGCATGAAATATTTCAATTGAGTTTAGCTATTTTTTTCCATGGCCAGGTGGTTAGGGCGCTCGACTCGCAATCTGCAAACAAATGAGTAGGAATGAACTGAAACCAAAATGAGTACAGTCTTTATACAAGATACATGCTTAAAAAAAAAGATTTTAAGCTAGGGAATGAACAGACCATTTTCGTAATTCGTATATCACCAATATGTGAATGAAACAGAAATGTCTTTTAATCGAAATTTATGTCATTTCAATTGCATTAGAACTTTAAGACATTGAATTATACATTGAACAAAATATTGTTTTATTGGGACAATAATGAGTAGTATTTTTTTGCCCAGTGAAGCCGTTGGACGTACGACTTATTTCAACTGAGTCTCATTACAAGGCTGGAAGAAAATATGCTTTTGAATGCAGAACCACAGGTTCAAGACCACAGCCTCGTATAACTTGGTGGAAAGATTATATTATTATAAATCATAATCATACCAGCGTTTCTCGCCAATCTAATATTAGTATTGGCACTTTAGTGTTAACCCTGACTGATTCTGACAACGGGAAGAATTTGACCTGCCGTGTTATCAATCCAATCATCCAAGACAGTGGCCTAGAAGATGCCATCATGTTAAATGTGCACTGTACGTTTGTCGATAACCTAGAAACCATAACGTTATTTAATCTGTATTTGTTTTCATCTTGAGCTGTCATTATAATACATATTTTACTTTGATAAATAAGATAGCTGACTTAACTTGGAAACTTGAAGTTACTTCTTTAAATAATCAGTGGGCATGACCTAATCGCAAAATAATTATTTCCACTAATTTTGGTTGTTTTCCGTATTATGTAAGCTTAATGAAGAAATATTTTTCAAATTAAAATATTGATACTAAACTATCGACAGAAAATAAACAAAACAAAACTGTAGACTCTGGTGAACGTTTTGTTTTCAGATAAACCACTAGTTGATGTATTTCTTCATGGAGGTCGAACTTCTCAAGCCGTGCACGAAGATGACGATGCCTATCTTGATTGCTACGTGAAAGCCAATCCTACAGTCAATGAGATAAACTGGTACTTCCAAGAAAGTGAACTCAAGAGCAACTCTAAAGATGCAATAATAATTAATAATCAATCTATTATATTGAAAAACGTTAGTCGAAAACAGAGCGGCTTTTATCGATGTTCGGCTAGAAATTCGGAAGGGGAAGGAAAGAGCAAATCTATCGAATTGGAGATTAAATGTTAGTTAAGTAATGATATGTTTAATTCCATAGTTTTTTTTTTGTGTGTGTGTGTTTTTACTACAGCATAAAACATTTAAACATTCCAGATGCAGAGGTTAAAGTTTTATTTAGTGGCAATGGGAAAAAAAACAGAGAACCCAACATAAGTCAATTTTTGTCTTTGAGAATTATTTACTGCTTTGATGTTTTCCTCCTTTTCTTAAATGTTACATTATAAAATTGTGCTTTTAATCAATTTACAAAAATTTTCCAATAACATTTATATTGTTTTCAGAAAATATTGTAATAGGCATAAATATAGTATTAAATAGTATTATATGATGATATTAGAGAATTCAAAAACTAAATTAAATTTGTTCTAAAGCATATATTATGTCACTTGAAAATAAGATCAACTAAATAATTCCAATTAACAGCTTAAAATATGTGAAATGAAAATTACTTATGATATTCTGAGCTCCCAATAAACTGGTTATGTATATTATCATTTAGATAAGCCTGAATGTACACACACCCATACAAAAGTCTATACAGGTATGATCGGAGAACTTGTGAGGATTGAATGTTCTGTCGATTCCGATCCTGAAGCCGTCATGTTCTTTTGGAGATTTAATAACTCCGAACAAGACAGAGAAATTCTTACACATACACAGTCTGGGCTGAAGAGTATAGCACGTTTTACTCCCCAAGATGAAAGTGATTTTGGGACATTTACCTGTAAAGGGGAAAATACTGTTGGTTTACAAAAAGACGGTTGTAAATTTTTACTTATTTCAGTAGGTAAGATTAATTCTTGTAATTTTAAAAAGATAAGCATATTCAGGTTTTCTATATATTCATTAATTGTCGACCTAATTTGTTAACTGTCCATTACTTTCTTATTAAGGAGTAGACAATAACATTGACACTATAAATAATAATTTGTTCTAAAAACTACAAGTAGACTCGTAAAAAGAATCTTAGAAGAGTTTGTAGTTTCTCTAAGATGTGATCACAAACTGAGATACCTTGGTTGCAGGTCTAAAAATCTATAGTGACTTTTTTGATTGTGGGGAGTTACTTAAAAGGGGGTTTGACAGAGGATATTAACAATTACCTAAGACCTTCCCTGGTAAAGACCTAACATACCAGCTTTATGCCACAACGTGTACATACAATAAAATTGGCCCATAAAATATTAGTGCATTAAAAATAGCTAAACTACTCTTATGAAAGCTACGCAGTTTAAGATACGTTTTTCAGTTACAATTGACAATTGACAACAAAGCAAATCGTTAAATTAATGTACGTGCGTTCATAATGTGTTCGAGAATTTATACTTCATTATTATTTACAAACAATATTGATTTTAAAATTATCAGTGGTTCATAAAGATCTTACCTGATTCGCTTTGAGTAACGTCTAAATTATATCATATTGGGTATTCTTATATTTTGGCATGCTAAATATTTATTAATAACCTTTAACATTTTGTAGTGTACCAGTTGCCGTTTATTATTTTTTAAGATCAAAACAACAGCTTCAGTTTTGTATTTGCACTGCCGTTACATTTGCGCGTGATATTCCAGAGATCCACCAAACATGCTCGCCCTTTCAGCAGTGGGGCGTTATAATGTGACGGTCAATCCCACTATTCTTTGGTAAAAGAGTAGCACAAGAGTTGGTGGTGCGTGGTGATAACTGGCTGCGTTCCCTCTAGTCTTACACTGCTAAATTAGGGACGAAATTCAAAAAACAAAGAAACAAACATTTCCGAGATACATTTATGATGAAAAGTAACTCTGTGAACACTAACGATGAGAGGAAATTAAATCATTGAAGTCTATTGAATTATCTTTAAAATGAGTTTGTTTAATATAAAGTCAGCATAGCACTTTTTCTTTAAGATAATACCGTCACAAATACGAAAGACCTCCTGCGACTTGATCGAATGGAATCGGTGGCTACGATACGAAAGGATTTCTGTAATTTGATTTAAAGTAGTTGGATTAATAATTATTAACAGAAGGCCTAAACTTTCACACTTAAACGGTTGAATTTGTTTTTGATGAGTTGAGAACGAATAACCTTTTGTTAAAACAATCACAAAATTAACATCTGCATTTCAAATACTATCAGCAAGTATTGTGTTAAAAAAGAAAAAAAACTATGCAAAAGCTAAACTAGAAGAATCTATTAAAGGTCAAGAAATTTAGAAAAGTCCGTTAAATTTGTTATTATTTCGTGGCAGAGTGGTTAGCGTACCAGAATGTGGAACGGAGAGTTCACGGTTAGTGCCCCATTGCTACAAAAAACATCGTGGTCCACACTTTGGTGCCATAGGTGATTTATAAGAATAACTTTTAAGTCCGACTGTACAGGTTAGAGTAGCTCAAGAGTTGGCGGATGATATTGTTGATTAGTTGTCTTCCCTTAAATCTCACAGCTCAATATTAAAGACGGCTAGCGTAAATACCGTTTGTTAAGTTCTTCGCGAATATCCGAAACAAACTCCGTAAGAGTCTAATAATGGCTGGAGACGGCTTAAATGGGTAATAAAGAAAAACTTTATATAAGTTAACATGACAGCAAATGTACAACGTTTCGACTAAGGTTTTGCATC